AATTCTCCAGAATCCAAGAAGCCATGATGGTTTTGTTATCATAAATAACCGATTTAAGATAGGTAAGTCTCAATGAACATCAGATGCGAAAAACTTCTGAATGAATAACAGATCACTTTGGCAATAATTAATTTTCACCTTAGTTTGAAGGCTCAAAGATGCAACCTTCAAGTTTGGCAGGAGAAGCGAAGTGTCTGAAGGGGCCTGTTGCTTTATGATCGGCAAGTCAGACGGATTCGCAATGCTCGGCCTTGGGGAACCGATACTCTCGCTGATACCTGAAGTAATTGTAACAGAAGTGACTGGTGAATGAGCAAAATTATCAGTTCCAGTTATATGCTTAGTAGAGATTTTGTCATTCAAAGATGATATTTTATCACCTTTGGATAAGGCATTGTACACTATCTCATCTGCTTTGGGTGGCAAGACTGAGGAAGAAGCCACAGAATCAAGACTGCCCCTCGTTTGTTTGGCTTCAAGGCGGCTATGCGACTGTGAAGTAGCCGTCGGAGCTTCACGCCCTGCGACCTTTGAATTCGCCTCAAGTTTTATCCCGCTTGTTCTGGCTGGCATCAAGTTTTCTGTCACTCGAATGCCATCAACCACAGATTCCGACATAACTTTGCCTCCAGGCGTTGTCCGTGTGGTCTTGCTGTCCTCTTGATTATCTTCGTAGTTTCTTTGTTCATTAGACGATGCTACCGTACTTGATATGGAAGGCGGCGCTGCATTAGTGCCACTTTCTGTAAATCTGTCAGCAGGAGCAGAGAGCGATGCAGCGTCAGTAGAGGCCAGTGTAGAGTTTTTCCTGGCAATCAAAGCGGTCATTTCTGGCTGCAGTAACGTTTCTGGCTTGGGCTCAGGAGCGCTGATACCGGGTAGAACCGTAACATCACCATCACTGTCACCGTTAGTAACCGCTCCACCAATCGAACTCGCTGGAGGTGTATCTGCTTCAAGGAGAGCCGTAAAGTCCACACTCACATTGCTCGCTTCTGTCAAAGTAGCGAAGTTAGATGAGCGAAATTAGTAAAATAGGATAAGTAACAAGAATTTGGTAAATAAGAACACATACATTTATATATTCTGAGCGTCAGCAAGCAATATTATTTATCTGTAACCTAAATTTTGAGCATATTCAACGTCACATAAATATAGTAAAGAAAAAAAGCAGCAGATAAAGGTGCATTTAGGGAAATTTCATCAGATCGACAACTATCCATCATAAGCA